GGGTTGAGTGGAAGATAAGAAACGATATTTTATTGAAGATGAGTTTTGTGACAGTGTTTCTCCTAGATTTTGAAGTCCCACGATTGCAATTACTTCCAACTTACCTCATAAAAGGGAAGGAAAAAGCTCTGCCTGCTCATATTAATGCAATTAAAGAACAATATAAAATTCCTCAGTTAAACCAGTCCTTTCTCACCACACCATAGGACTCCAGGATGGCACAGTAGTTAAGAAAAGAGCAATGAACAATAAACTTTTCATATGTTAGATATTAGAACTGTCTAAAACTTAAACAACCTAACAAATATGACTGGTGGATAAACTGCAGTTTAGCAAGTAACATGAGGTTTAATATGCTCCTGCAATACACAAAAATCCACTGGACTAACAGGACAGAGAGGCGTGTTTAAAAGCAACCGTGACTAGTGGAATACTGAAGAGTCCTGGAATGCAGTTAACATACTGTCCAGAAAGAAAAGAAAGTAAACCATACAGAAGCAGATCCTTACTACAAACAATTCTTGAAGACCATGGCCGGTTGATCACTGTCACAGGGAACGGACTTAGCCTTCTTTCCTTTAAAGGAAAGTAAACAGCTAGCTGCAGACTGCTGACAAATTCTTTAGGATGCCATGCAATTTGCATGACTGATATGGCACGTTACTGACAGCCTGTGTTTCCACTGAACTTTTCAATGGGAGAAAACACTTCTGTTCTAGTAGTCAAGTTCTAGTACACCTCAGAAGCATTCCTAAATGAAAATGAGGCTAATGTACATTTTTAACAAATAGGATGTATTTTACTATGATCCAATCACATTATTTTACAGCGAAAAAATTAAGCACTTGCTCATCCAAATATTACTAGGGCCTTTCTATAGCTAGGTGAAGGATCATTACTCCCTCACCTTAAGTTTTTGCTATACCCAAAGGCTAGCTAACAGCCAAGAAACATTTTATTTTCAATTGGTTTATATTTAGACTCATGATGACATCATTTTATTTGTGATGTTGCATATCTCAGCCCCTACACAAAAACAAGGAAAAGCCTTAGTTTTTGCAGCTCAGTAACGGTTTGGTTTTGTAACTGCAACTGCAACACCACATTCAGAAACTACAGTTAACAAGCTGACACCCCTATCTTGTGAATTTTAACTACTGAAATAGATTTGTATTTTATAGTGCCAAACCCTGTTCCTTTCTGCACTCTCATAATACACAGCTGTATATCTCTAGAGACCTTTATTGTATCATCTAATTTTGCTTGAGGTTTTCTAGCTATGCCTCAAGTCTTAGTGGGAAATCTCACTTTAGCTGTGTATAGCTGTGATTAAGTGTTTCTTTATTTCATTCAGAGTAAATTAGCTTCTCCCTCTCTGTAAAGTGAAAATTCATTAATGTTCTCTGCCTGGCCATACATTTTAAGTCCAGACAAATAAAAATAAGGAGAGGAAAGAGATCTGTATGCTGGATGTCGCAACTCACATAACCAGCAGCAGGTTCATGCTTACCATTGTACTTTTAAGTTTCTACTTTTAGAGTGCAGCTTGATCAACAGCAATCAAACAACAACAAAAAATACCCCAGGCAAATTGTAAGAAGTAATCTGAGGTTTTCACTCCTTAACATTTGAGATGCTGGGCTCAACACACATTCTTTCCTGTTGCTCAAATAATAATTAACCTTCAAGAATCAATTAATTACTATTTATGCAGGTCCATCAAGCACCACCTTATTAAATTTGTCTAGTCCTGCCTTTCCTTATCTGAAACTTTGTCAGTCAGAACATGATCTAACTAGACTCACTGCACAGCTTCAAGGTCACTAGGAAAAGAAGAGAGGCGCCAACAATGGGCAGTCAGATGTGCAGAGACAAGAAGGACTGCCTATGTACTTTGCTTGTACACCTCTCATGAAAAACTCCCATCGTAACTGGGTTCCAGAAACATTCATGTGTAGGCAAATAATAAAATAAGCTTGGAAAAAAAGGAGCTTCAGAACAAAGCTCTACTAAAATACACACATTACAGCATAGTTACTTTATCCTGCAAACCATCCAGGAGGCAACAAACAAGTCCCATAACACCAAAACGTTCCAAATACAAGGATAAATCAAAGCACTATTACATGTTTCCATTTACCTGTCTTATAAAGAAGTCTCCATGGATCAGAGACACAATGCCAAAGTTTGTATACTTAAAAATATGATCCATCAGCCACATCATCTGACGGACAACCTGAAAAGTTAAAAAAAAAGCTTAGTAAATATCACGCACAGAGAATTATGTGCATATACCAGTCACATTCTCATCACCCTCACAACAGCAATAAAACTAGCAAATATATGGAATGAAGTCCTTTATGCCCCAAAGTATAAAGCAGGATAGGTGCTACATTTCTCCCTCAAGAGCAGGATTAGACTTCCTTTTTGTAATATAACATACAGTTCTATACTAGTAGCCATATCATAGAGTAATTTCTACTCCACTTTTTTACACATTAGCGTAATGCCTCTTGTTGACATACCACCACAATTTGAAGTCAGTTACAAACTGAAACCATTTTTAGTGTTTTTGAAAGTATGCAAAACAATACAGATCTGTATTTGAAAACTCCAACTGTTTTACGTCTACCACAAAAACATGTTTCTTTTTTTTTTTTTTTTATACTTGGTGATTTTGGGGGTGAGATTACATTGTTCTTGTGCTTCTGATGTGCACACGTTCCATACACGCTCGCTCTATCTTTTAACAGCAGCATTCACTGAGACCTACGTACAGCCCACATGCCGTTACTGATTTCTCTCATGGCTGAGCAGCCACATGCATCCCTGAGAATGTCACTAAGTCATGCTCCTTATCCCTGCCAAGAAGTATGGTCAGAAGGCAAAAACAGAGGTTGAGCTGTCAGCTTCACTTTGACCATCACTTCTTACAGGACAATGAAAGCATGTATTATACCTGTTCGGTCAATCAATACCTTTGAGATTTAAAATAGAAGAATTTCTCCAGAGGAGGCAAATAACAGAAGGGAAAAGCTTCTTCTCTCACATCTTTCTCCTCTATAGCTCCTACATGTAGATTTTGAGAGGGATAGGAATTTGCTCTCCAAAACTGGAAAATCCAGTGTCTCTTACATGCTCTCAATCGCACACGAGGCGAGCTTCCCTTAGCCTTCCCTATAAGGCCACACCAAGACTGATTCAAGCTCAGTGAAACTTAAAGTCATAGAACATAGCACTCTTCCATTTATCACTAGCAAAAAAAGCATATGGAGAACCACAACATTTCTCTGGTAGTCAAAAAGTCATTTTTTTAATTGTCTTAAAAAGACACCTTCTGCTTGGAATCTTTCAGTCGTCCAAGATACTGCTCAGAATCCACAACTGTACCTTCCTCGATACTTCTAACAAAATAGTTTGAGGATGGTGGCGTTCACCTGTTTTCACATCTTCACTTGTCTACGTGGAATTTGTAGAAAGAAGCAGATCATAATTCATGCAGGAATTCTGTTTTGTAATTTGTATCTAGAATTTCACGTATCAGTAAGTCTTTCTTCCCAAGAAATCTAATTATCTCTTGGAGTGCTCTGATTATCTACTCTCCCTTTTGACCACAGAAGCTATAAATGAATCCTGGGTTATGTATCTGGAGGAAGGTAACTGTCGCATACCCTGTTTCTTTAACTTAAGCAACCGCAGCCTGATGCTCAGCAAAATGAAGTCTTTACACACTTGCAAGACCACACCTGCCAAAAAACATTTAAGATACTTTATTGCCTTAGACATACACCTGGTCTCCCAGTGAAATCTGAACGTCGCTACTAGAAGCTAGCTATTCTTGCCTAAGAGCACATTAGGAACACCTCAACTTTTGTGTTTTTTTAATACTAGCAAACTTTCTGTTTGAATATCTTGGATAATACAAGAGCACCTGTTTCTGGACCCTCTAGCATCACTGGAAGTGGAAAAGGAAACCATGTCTGAGAGAAAGGGACAGCTCTCAAAGATATGAAGGGTTTTGCTTTGGAAACAAGCATCCATTTCTTCTCCATGACATGCTAGTGTCCCTTCCTGTCTGCCAGTGATATTTCTTACTATACACTACACACCGAACAGAACAAAGACACACCATGCACTTGTGAGTGGTACAAGAAAAATTAATTCCTAGATATAACTCCCTACTTGAGACTAATATTGGTGAAATGGTTTTTCATACAGTTGTTCCCGGGCCTGTGTTAAATAAAATAGAGAACCTTAAAGCAAAAAATTATTCTCTGCACAGATTCACATTCTTTCCAATTCAGTAAATTAGAAAGCCCTAAGGAGGGGTGGGGGGGAAGAAAGAAAAGGTGTGCTCTAAGGACAAGAGTTAAAAAAGCATCACTGAGAGGTATTATTGCACTTTAAGGCACTACAATATCATAACTTCATGCCCACACACCAGCCCAAAGATGACAGGCTGGTGTAGAGAGCCATATGTTTTGTTAAAAACACCACCAAAATTCCCCTGACGATGATTTCGCTTGCAGCTGTACCCATATGACTATCAGTTTATCTACTACTTTGGCATTTTTCACAATTATTGTTTTATTACACCAAGCAGAAGTTAAGCTAACATAATCTATTTTACTGGAGGAGATCAGCAAGCTTAATAATCTGCCTCCCTGAAAAGAAAAGATGTCTTTTTGAGGAGTCAGCACTGGTCCCTAGACATTCTATGGCAATCTTGCCCAGCAAAGCTAGTGCTTCTCTCCTCCCATACCACTTTTTATTTTCTTTTTATTTAGATGATGGGAGGTTTATCCTGAAAGTTCATCATTACTCTTCAGAGTCTGAAGTCCATCTCACCATGTTTTAGGTGACACAGGGCTTCTAACTAGCATCTCTGGACTTTCTTAGTTTTTTTGAGACAGAGTGATGTGATTGTGTCAAAGATCAGCATGACATACAAGCTACAAGACAGAACATCTAGGCAGTTTGCTGCAAGTGGGCTACAAAGAGGCAAACTCCAGAGCTCAGTGATTACAAATCTGCCTATAACCCTAGGCAGTGGTAAGATGTAAAAAGAGGAACTATTTTAATGTATGAATTAATGAAGATATATATATGTACACACACACACTTTAACAAAATAAAATCAAAAAGGAGGAGTTCAAAGAGTAGAACACAATTGTCTTGTTTGCAATCACAAGGCAACCTAGACTAACAGATATTCATCCTGTTCTGCTACCAAGGGCAGAACAGAGGACACTGCAAGATATTGGTGGTGGCTCTTCCATTTAGGCTCCTCAGGAACAAAACACCACTTATCAGATGAGTCTCTTATCACTTGCATTTCAAGTAGGTTTAAGCAAAGACATTCAGAAGTGTTTTGCACATGGATTCATAGTTGTCTACAGACTGAAAGAATTTTTGGATGCTGTTTCAGGTCCTTTTGGTTCATCCTTCCTGCTTAAGTTCAGAATGTAGAAAAAGCTTTTACCAATTTAATAAAAAAATCTAGGTGCCTCCTATCCACTGGCCCACTTTCATTTCACTCTACACAGATTTCATAACAAAGCAACCTGAATAGACTGACTTTCATCTTTCAAGCACCTCTAACTTCACAACGAAACCTAGGGACACATGTCTCTAAATCTGCACTCAAACAGCTGCAAGCTCTACTTTTTTCTCTCCAGTGCACCCTTCCTGGCTCTGCTTTCTGCTCTAAATCAGAAAAAATAGCCACATTTATCAGTCCTAATCCAGTCAGAAAGCAGTAACAGCAGCATTTTAACCTACTTCTCTTTGTTAAATACATAACCTTTACTGTTCGTGAGACCTCAACTAACTTACTAAATTTAACACTTACTTTTACAAACAAATTGGAACAATTTCTTGAACTACACAAAAAGTATAATTAGGTCACTTCTGATTCAGCTGAAACCTTGCTCTGTATGGCCTGTCTTATGGTACCACATATCAGTTAAACAATACCAGTTCAGATCTTTCATTAAAATGATAACTTTTAGAGAAGTTCTACTTCCCTAATAAGAGATCATGCTTTCCTCATTCACATAAGCGAATCTGAAAGACAAGAAACACCTCAACAGATGTGTTTTAGCTTACTCCTTAGTGAGATTAAACTTCTTTAAAACAGAGAGGCTACACCGAGTCATTCTGCTCACTGGGGTACATGACAGAATACCATATATACCCAACTTCCTCAATCCAAAAGAAATTAAAGCAATTAAAAGTACTTTTAAAATAGTCTTCTCTAGGCTACAGTAAAAGAAAGAAATTAGTCTCTGCTCAATCTTGAGTGGCATTTTCATACTTTCTTTTCTGAGTTTAGTTTGAGATTTTAAAATTTTTTTTTCAACCAGCTCTGCTATCGTAAGCTCTGGGAAAATCTCTAAAAAAAATTTTAAATCACTGGTAGAGATGCAGTGTATACACAACCTAAATTAATATACACTAAGAAAAACAGTGCCAGTTACAAGTTATGCAAATGCAAAAAAAAGCAGTTGTTGTTTTCCTTATTTCTTCACCATATGGTCGCAAGAAAAAAGACAACGCCGAGGCATTTTTTCAGCTTGCCAGGTATGTCTCCTACCCTTTGTAGCCTAATCATACATACTCCCACCATCGCAATTTGCACATAAATTTAATTTCCTCTTTAGATCCCATACTCTAGTTTCCAGCACTACACTTCCTAGATGTGAATTTTCTGAACAGCAATGCATGAAACAACTGACACTAGTTGCACTCCTCACCAAGAAATGCTTAAGAGTTTGTGAAACAAGAGCTCAAGCAATTTTGACCTTATGTAGCTGGCTTAGCTCGGACATGCCCTCATAGGCAAGTCACTTTCAGCTTCTGAACTCCTACCAAAATCCTATACATGACTTGCTTCTCACTTTGAGAAAAATTCCTTGCTGGAATAAAGTCATAACAACAAAGCCAGACCTGTGTTGGTTTGAGCAAAATTGGCATGAGTTGCACAAGGGTGAGAGGAAAAAGCCAAGTACATGATTACCTGCAAGGAGACCTGTTTCCCACTGTGTTAACCTAGACTGGATGCACACTGACTCAGCTCGTATTTGACTTTCCTCATAGACAATGTTTATGATCTAAAACCTAATCCAAGCTACTGGCTGTCACATTAAACCAAATCTAAACGAAAACCTTCCTATTCAGGGCCTTGAGATTATTCGGTGAATTAACACACAAAAGACAGTCATCGGTACCACACACAGATGCAAACACGCCCAATGTAAGCGATCGCATACACAGAAGCTATCCCACTCCCTGGTTGTAGCCTACCGTGCCTTTATCCTGAAGGCACATCATCAGAGTGCAGACGTCACCCGTTGCTTGATGGTTCACCAGCACCATGGCTTCATCTTCTGATACTGCTTTAACATCATCACCCCATTCCACTACTATTGAAAAAAAAATAGAGAAGTAAATTTTACAATGACCGCATGGAAATTTTACTATCAACAAAATACAAACCCCACAGACCTCGCTCCCAGGCAACTATAATAAAGAAACCTATGTGATATGTGTCAATTTATATTGGCACATAGCATAAGATAGGAATATTAGCAAGACCGTTTTTCCAAGCAGAGGGTATCCAGCTTAGTTTTAAATTGCATGCGCAGAATAAGAACAAAACAAAAGTACTCTACCAGAACATATGCACAGAGATTGATCTTTTTGTGTCACTACACCATTCTATATTTAGGGTCTCAAAATTACATAAGCTTGTGACGCAGCTTTCAAATTCAACTGTCTCACGTCATTAGAATAAAATAAAATCACGTTGTCAAAGACTTTTGTAGTTTTTTTAAACTTGGCAAGTTTGTTTCATTTTTACACTTACTCTAATTAAACTACTCTGGTAAAAGCAAAGCAAAAAATCTGTAGCTGGCTCATGATGTTGAAAATGCTACATTAAACACACTCAGTAACTCAAATCTAAACAAGTTAGCCATAGGCAAGAAAGTGGGTTCAGAAAGTGATGCTCAGATGATAGAAACTATTAGTCACTACTTTGTAGACCAGAGGTCAGATACTCCAATGGCAAGAATGATGTCAGGAGGAAGTTACAGCTGTTGGTCATCCAACATTTACACTGCCTAGTAAAAATATGCTGAAGTAAGGAAAAGGAGTTAAAATTGCTAGTTCCATCATCACGAAGTAACTAAATAGAGAAAGAGAAGACTGCCTCCCACAGAAGAGCACGGGATGCAAAAGTAGAAAAAGTCTGGCGTAAATCAGACCAGAGTAGGTCTAACACCACTGCTGCAGCAGAGAGACAAGTAAGTGGAGTCTGGCCTTCCTCAGTTACAGGGATGGTTACTGGGATGTGGGGTAAAGGGAAAGGATGGGCAGGCAGAGCAGCTCTATGAAGTTCAAAAGGAAAAGATGCATTGCCCATGCATGTAGGATATGATTATTTTTCTGTGTGTTTTCAGTATCTTAAGTGGTTCTCACTGGCTATTATTTCCTTTCTGACATCAAAGGAAATATTTCACCTTCACTACTGAATCTTTAGTACTGCTATTAATAGGTCTCCAGGCAGTGAACAACTGTCATCACAGGACAATTAATTACTACAATCTGTCTTTTAATATGCCAAAGCATAGGCTACACACTGGAGACAAGAAGCAATAACCCATGCATAGGTTCCCTGTCCTTGCACAAATCCAATTAGCAAGACACCTGTGAAAATTGCCGCTTCTATTACCTTCTAACAGCTCCCAAATTAGTATTGAATTGAGACTTGAATACAAAGTAAAAAAAATAAAATGCTGTATTTGGTCACAAGTAGATAGAAACAGATTAGAGATATGAAGTTGGGAGTACTATTCATTCCATAATGTTCAACCTCCTTTCCTTTCACCAGGCAAGTTAAGCACAGATCCTTTCTTATTTTTCTCAACATGAACCTGGAAGATCTCTTTTATCCCTCCTCCTCAGTTACATACAAATTCCCTCTGATGTCCTCTCTAACTCCATGGAAACTGGAAAACGCCTGGACGTGGCAGTCACAGTTGACTGTGCACCTTCCTTATCAAGTATGTCACTTATCTAGGGCAGTACGCCACAAGGCAAGAAACTAAGACGAAAAAGGAATTGTTTTAAAGGGAAATGAATTAACTGTGTACTGATTTTGAAATTATTACTTCACTGTAATAATGGCTTTGCAAGAGTAATAAAAAACTGAGTACTAAATACATTAAGCATCTGCAAAATAAGGTTTCTTAGAAGTAGCTTATTATTTACAAATAACTATTTTACTTCTAGATCACTCAGAGAAAAAATGGATTACTTTACTACAGATACTTCACTGGAACATATCAATTTACACTACTAATCATTTCTACTGTAGAGCAGTTTAAAAATAAACTAGTTTTAATCTTCAAAAATGTTTCACAGATCTAACTTTCTGAAGGATCAAAATGAAGTTCACTGAAAAATGTAAGCCATAAGAAGGAGCACGCAACTGAAAACAACTAAAGAGGAGAACTTATGAAGCTTAATTTGCTAGCAAAAAGTACATTTTAGCATACTAGGTAAAGACTAATGTCTGACTTTGAAACTTTCAGATAGGCCCCCAAGAGTGTTTTGCCTACTCTTGTTCAAGATGAGAGGGCAAAAACACACAACCAGTTTACAATGCACTAATAAGTTTCAGCTAAGTAGTAAAAACATGAGCTCTGTCATCCCACTCCAAATGAAAGGTAAAAAAAAAAAGTTTTATTTAAGTCTTTAATTTATTTACTCAATTCATTTTATCTATCAACTGGCCAAGCTAACAGCTCAACTTCTGCCGCTCAGCTGACAGGTAGTAAGTTATTAAATCATGGTGATTCAGCTGGACATCCTCTAGTTTCTTTTCCCTCTGTCATTTCTCCTCAGGCAATCAGGCTGTCTCTTGTGCTTAGTAACGCTTTATGATCAATTGATTGACCTGATTATCAAGGAGAAAAGAATCAGTTTGTGCAAGTCCTTCACAGAGCACTTCTGGATTGGAAACAGACAGTACACCACAAAAGTGTGCAGCAAAACCACTGCCATTACCACCATTTTTTTTAAAGAAGGAAAAAACCTCCAAATACCTAGAATTTTAAGTTCACAGTGTCCCTTTAAACTCAGTGGGGGAAATAAATGCCTGTCTTCAATTTTCACACGGCACTGAAATCTCCAAAAGGAGCACCTTCTGCTTTAAGAAATACTTGTGCTATTACATTCCTCCAATGCAGTAAGAAACATTCAAATCAAAACCTCAGCTGCATGGCAGCAGAACCAGAAACACTGCTTTGCTCCACTGTAACAAGACAAAAAAACCAGTTCAAAGACAAATATTTGTCACTCAGGGGCCTGAAAACCAGCAAAAACTCCTCCACGGCTTCCTTCTATTGCCAGGGCGCATTTTATAAGGATACTGGTTCTGTGTCTACAGCCTCACAACAGTTAGATTTCTGCAAATGCTGTTTAACACAGTGAAATAACATAAAGGAATGAAGAAGCAGGAAATCAGTTTAACCTGGTAATTTGAAATCACAGTAAACTCAGTACCAAGAAAATCTGGTAATCCCGATTAGTAATGAAATCTTTTACCCACAAGATTGAGACAGAAAGTGCTTAGCTGTAAGAAATAATTCACTTGTGACTTAATGTTGTAAGCAAAAGGCTTTTCCAGGAAAGGACAAAGATGCATTTACTTGTAATTGCATGCTGTAAGACAGAAAGATTTATCCTTCTCTTATAACAAGAAGTCCAAGATGTACACAAGTCTCTAAAACATCAAGAATATATTTCATACAATGAGCTGCAAACCAAGCTTTTTACAAGATAATCCTTGCTGAGTTTAAAGAAAATAAAAGCAATTAAAAACCCCAAACAAACAAACAACCCCACAAAAGCCTCCTGACAGAAATTTCAACAGCCTTTAGAAAATGGGCAGCAAAGGAACCAGATGCAATTCCCATACTAGCATCATCCAGCATGCAGTAATGCCAGACACAAGTACAGACAGGGAGACAAGTGCCTGGAGAGCAGCCCTGGCAGCCAGGAGGGCAAACCACATCCTGGGGCGCATCAAACACAGGAAAACCTGCCGGTCAAAAGAGGTGATTATCCCGCTGTATTCAGCATTGGTGTGGCCTCACCTTGAGTGCTATGGGCAGTTCTGGGCTCCACAATTTCAAAAGGATGTGAAGGTACTCAAATACATCCAGAGGAGGGCAACAAAGCTGGTGAAAGGGCTGGAAGGCATGTACTATGAAGAGCGGCTAAGGACTTCGGGTTTGTCTAGTTTGGAGAAAAGGATGCTGAGGGGCTGACCTCTTCTCTCTGGCGTCCAATGACAGAACACAGAGGAATGGTTCAAAGCTGTGCCAGGGGAGGTTTAGGCTGGACATTAGGAAGCTTTTCTTTACCAAGAGGGTGGTCAAACACTGGATCAGGCTTCCTAGAGAGGTGGTGGATGCCCCAAGCCTGTCAGTGTATAAGAGGCATTTGGACAATGCCCTTAACAACATGCTGTAACTTCTGATCAGCCCTCAAGTGGTCAGGCAGCTGGACTAGATGATCGTTGTAGGTCCCTTCCAACTGAAAATATTCCATCCAAATCTAAAAGCTACCACATTAATCCCATAAATAAAAAAACATGAGAAGCCTGACACTTTATGGCAAGGTCAGAGGAGCTCTTTAAGAGTTCTGATCACAATTATTAAAATCACCAAAACGATAAAACAGCTAGTTAAATCACCTGAGAGTTACAATATATGTAAATGTATAATTGATTTGGGTATCCATTTTATTTGCCATTTAGATTTGAGTCTACACACAACATTCACAACTTTCTCTAAAAATTGGAGAAGAACTTTTACTCCAGAACTTCACACCTCAGTTTATTTTTCTACTTGTAATCACTTGCATCAATGAAGCAAGACTTCACGAAAACCTGTTCCAAGAAGTTGCAGCTCGGCAACACTTAGAACTGAACAGTGCAACCTTTTGTCAATCGCTTGGAAACCTTCAGTAACAAACAAACGGCATTATTAATGGACAGCCTCCTTTGCTTCCTCAAAAATCATACTGCTTTCTAAAAGAAGGAAAGTTATTATTAGGTATTCAATAGTGACTGTAACTCATGACAGCCAGGTTTCTATATCCTAAACACTCCTCCTCATACTCAACCGTTTGTGTCTATCAAGTTGCAACCCTGCTTTACTGTTATTCACAAATGGCTCATCGAAGCATGTTTCAACTAGAGTAGCTATGTACAGTTGTTAAACTCATTTGTCTCTCCATTATAGATGGGATTCTTTGATAGCTGGCATCAAGAAATCCCAGAAGTGATGCCAGAGGTTAAATATTACTTAGCATGCCTAGACCGCATTAAAAAAAGAATGGATAAAGAGGTACT